TGCTAAGCAACTGTGCCACCTTGCAGCCCACAAATTTCCAGTAAAGTAAATTAATCTCTAAATGCACGACTCTGGCTCTGATGCATCCATTTCCCTTCATTCGTTGTCACCTCTCTGTGGATTCCAGCAATAACCCACTCAGAGATGTCATTTTTATAATTAAACAGATGTAAGACATAAATGCATTTAAACAAAGTTTGGCGCTTGATGAATTTGTGAAGTTTTGACCCCAGATATTTAATTTCTACACAAAGCTAGGCTATTTTGTTTCCTCGTATTGCTTATTGGTCTCCTTGATTGCACATTATTGGAATGAGCCCAGAGAAATTACATGTTGGAGCTATATGTAGCTGTATGTTAATAAAAAACTTTAAAATGCTGGTTACACAAGCGTTCCTGCAGACCTGCATGCCTGTCCCTGAAAGGTCCTCATTCTCTACAAGGTGCTGCCCCAATGAGCAGGGACTTTCTGAAGGGTCAAACAGCTCTTGGTGTCCCGTGTTGAGCCTCACTCACATACCATCAGCTCAGGTTGCATAGAAAGAAATCCTGTTGTCTTTACCGAGATGAACAGACTTGAACTCCAACCATGACCCTAACCTTCAGGGTCGGGTCAGTTTTGAAAGCTATCGATCGACACAGACGCCCCAAGAAAGATACAGAAGATCACTATTACACCTGCTTCAGGCTCAAATGAGATAGAAAAAAACCTATAGCTCAGAAAACTAGGGTAAACATCATTTTTCAATGAAACTTAACTGCCCCTATTAAATGTGTAGAGCGAAAGAAGATTCCTTTAACTTCATTTTGGTAACCATGGAAAAGACCACATGCCCCGCACGATTCAAAGCAGGAGGTTCAGACACATAAACGCTGAAAAAAACCCTCTTCATTTCAATGTTTTTCACCCGAACACCCAGAAAACTCAAGAGAAATGAAATTCATCCGTGAGCCTTCAGTTAAAACAAGCAGCCGGTTTATTCACAAAGAACAAGTACCTTCCAGGTTGTGACGAGTGAACAGGATCGACTACAACTCCTGCACCAGGGGAAAATTTAGCCCAATAATACCTTCGCCATGGTGACACATCAGTCCTCTTTCATGAGACCAACACTCATTTCCATGGCAACACCATCATTCAAAATGAGTGCATTAGCTGAACGAGGACTGATGTCTGCATGACCAAAAAAAAAAAATGACATGCCAAAGCCACATTTAGGATGTGCAGAGGTCGGGGCATGAACACGGGCACTGAGAGCAGCAGAGGAGGCGATCACATGTGGCGTTATTGATCATATTGGCAGGATTTGGGTTCCTGTCTGAGAAGTTTAGTTTAGTAGCTGTTGAGTGTTTAGATCCAATAAATCTTTCATTTTTTTATATACCATTTATTGCCTGTTGGATTTGGACTGCTTCCATTTGGATCATGAACTTTTCGTTTAATCCAATTAAATTTTGCATTAAGGAAGCCTCACATCAAGCTCCACGATTTGTAAATGTAGCTGCTGGTTGGATCCTTCGCAGTGTGTTGAGGACTCTGCAGCGCTGTCTGGTGACAAAAGGCCAGAGGAGAGAGAGGGAGAGAGGGAGGCATGGAGCCCTCCCCCTCCTTTACTCGGTGAGGGAAGCGGGCAGAGCGGGTGCTGGAGAGGTGCGGGGGGATGAATGGGACCAGCTAGTGACCTCAGGCAGAAAGAATGTCCCCGTTTGCTCAGTCGGCCTGCTCCCCTAGCAGCGCTCCACACAGTCATCAGCACTGGGGCCTTTGTATTCACCTTCCAGACCCCAAACCGCAGAGCAGAGGCCACAGACCAGCACACAGTGACACCTCGCAGCTCCTGCTTCTGCGCTTCTAATCTGGCTGCTCCCGCGAGTTGAGCCTTCTCAGGTTGTAAAGAGAGTCGGGAGTTCTTCCTCAATCCTGCTTTTCTCTTTTGCTCCTCGCTACCAAAATGCTAATTGCTCCTCAGTCTCAAAGTCTTAAAAGTCTCACCTATTGTGTGGACAGCATTCCTCTGCTGCTCCAGCCATTTATGTGGGTGTTAATGTATTGCCATCTCCCAGCATTGTGACACTGTGTGTGTGTGTGTGTGAGTGAAATACAGCGATTGCATAAATTTCAGTGTTAAAAAGAGGAGGAGGGGGGGGACATCTTTTCCATGCTGGGACACCCATAAAATCAATGGTGGCTCGGGACGACAATTAAATCTGACTAATCCAGCAGATTTATGAGATCCGTGGGTTTCGTCTGCCAGGCTCGGGTGAAGTCATCGCGCTGCCAGAGAGACACCGCTGCTGTTAAATGAATTTGAATGGGCGAGCTGTGTGAGATGCATGGCAGGGGGCTGCAGAAGCCAGCCCGCTTGCAGAATTTCCTTTTCAGATTGGATTCAGACTTGGATTCTGATGAATGAAGGCTCACCCAGAGGAATTCAGTCTTCACACTCTGTGCTAGAAGCTCAGTGTGCTGAACCTGGGCCCACTGCGGTGTGGGCATGTTTATGTGCTGAAGAGCTGCTGCTACTATTTTATTTAGATTTTCTCTGCAAAAATTGTCGAGGTGATGCCTACAAGTTCTTTCGTCATTCTATCCTGCAGCTGAGAAAACACCAGAATCTTTATTTAATGTGGAAGTTCATAAAAAAGTCAATCGGTTTGGTGCGAGTTTTTAATGGATAATTCAAATCAATACGTTTCAGTATGCTAATGGCTTCAGCATGTGTCAAAGTAAGGGACATCCTCCCTCCAGTCTGCTATTGTTGGTGTGTCTGTGAGCGGCGCACAAAGGCAGGGAAGGGACGAGGAGAGATTTTTTTCGGGGGGGGTTTGGAAAGCAGCCTGCTGTATTGATTGTGTATGGGTCGCGAATGGAATCCTGTCGGGATCAATGGTTGAAGCAATTAAAGCGAGGCAGAAAGTCGCCATCTGCTCCGCACCGAGTGGCTCTAAAGTAGGAAGATTTAGGAAGAGGCGTACAGTAGGGTGCATTTTGACGTGACAGACGTTAACAGAAGTTTAGTGAAATTCTTATCTGGTGTGCTGTGTCTGAGATAATCAAGTCACTTGTTTGTCTTCGACCAGCTTGGTAAAACTCAGTTTTATCTGATGCGCACATGCTGTTATGCAATTACCAGAAGTAATTGTGACCATCCCCAAGCTCTGTTTTTGGCAAAGAAATCGTCTCATAACATTCAGGCAGTTAACAACAGCACAATTAGGTTTTTTTAATGTTTTTTTTTAAGTTTCAGCACATCTAACTAACAAGGAAGGAGCCTATTTATGTAACAACCCTTCATCTAATATGCTAGATGTGCAAGAGAGATGATAACTTTGATTATTAAAAAGTGAAGTATTGATGTTGTGTGTTCATACTAAACAATGTTGTATATAATCCAGCATCAGTAGCTCCCTGCTTGACAATCCAGCAGACAGTATTTTAGTATCATTCATTTGCCAATAAAGAGAAAAAACGCACAATAAATAACGGTAAAGGGGAATTTGACTGATATCTTTTTTCCTTATAGAGTACAATAATATCATCATCGTGAATTCTTTTGGCCGAGAGAATCATGTAGTGGAAATCTGACAGTGGGTGTAAACTCAGAGCTCATCGACTGCAGCTCAGCTCAAGCTTAAAATCGAACCACGTCAAGTTGTTTTGGATGCGGCCGTTGGAAGCCATCAGCCGCTCCACTGTCTGTGTTATCGCAGCCGTGGTTATGTCAAAGTAAGCGACTAATAACAGTTGAGTTTTCCATTGATTATTTAGCACAGGCTGACTGCTATGTGTGCTCCTCTTTGAATGTTTCATGTGTACGAGCAGCGAAATGCGCATTCGAGCTGCGTTCAGTGAGCGTGTTCCTACAGCTGTCCTCTTTTTTTAAAACAGTAACGTCATAGGTGTGTGTTAGTTGTGCTCCTCAGGCTCACTTTGGTTGTGTTTTGTTCATTATAACGACATACAGATTCGATCTAAAGTTACTCTCCAACATGAGTAAACTATTCTTATTGTTTAAAATCACTGAGGTGCACCTTTCTGCTGTTATAATAAGATTTACGTCACAGTTTAGAACTTATCTGCAGATATTTGCTTTTGCATTCTTGCCCATATTTTACTTTTTGGGGTTTTCTCTTCCCTTGTTTTTGTAAAGTTATATGTCTGCAAAAGTCAACGCCAAATAGAGTTACTCTCTGTGCTTTTCTTCCGTTACTTATCTATGTCACCATGTAACATATTTGCCTCGCAGCTAGTTTGACACTTCAATAAAGAATGAGCAGCTGGCTCACACTCCACCATTACTTCCTCACTAGAGTGGCTTCTACCAGAGCTACGACTCTCAGTCTGTACTGAGAGATGAGAGCGTACAGTTCGTAATCAGCATTACTTTGCTTTCATACAATCAGCTAACTAATCAGAGCAGACTGGGTTTAAAGAGAAAAATTACATGTTTTTGAATATCCAAGCATAAATATATTTTTGTAGATTTTGAACTTGTAAATGTGCATATTATGGGCTCTTTAAGGTCTGGTGACATCAAAAACTAGTACAGCAAAATTCACTTTGTGTTTTGGAAATATGAGGATTTATTGTCGAAGCCTGGTGACTCAGTGTCTGTATAGCGAGTTAACTGCGAAGTGACTTTCACAATAGCTTCCCCTGTGTGCTTCTGTTTTCTCTCTTCTGTTCTGTTTACTAACCAGTGGCATTGTGTGCGACATAGTGTACCGCTTTGTTCAATAAAAAGTTATCAAAGAGGAAGGAAAAGTAAAGCTCTGACCTGAAGGTCATTTAATAAAGTGCCAACTATTAACACAAAGTCAGGAGCACAAAAGTGACATCGCAATAAGGCTCTGCTTTATTGGAACTAAAGGTCCCAGACCCAGAGTACATAGATGTGGCCTCCGCATACTTTTGACCGCACAGTAAATCAGCTGCAGCAAATTGCCTGAACTCTTTCCTACTTGAATATGTAGATTTCATCTGTTGTGTTTGTTTCCAGGGAGGAGGCTGCGAGGGAAAGCGTTCTACAACGTCAACGGGAAGGTCTATTGTGAAGAGGATTTCCTGGTAAGTCACCTGCGTATTGGTGGTTATTAGTTGAGTAGATGGCCGTGTCATTGGCTCACAGTGGGCTGACAGGAGGTGCAGGTGGAGCAAGGGATTAGGATCTCAAGCTGCATTCTGCAACCCTCTGGAGGGAACAGACTTCACAGCTACAATTAGCACCACCCCTACAATTCACACTAATTTCCTCCAAATATCCCCAAGGAGCTCAATTACAGCACGAGCTGCTCCCCCGCACTTATAATGAAGAGGTGGAGGAGGAGTGCAGGACAGCTGTAGCTCTCAGCCTCCTGCTCCATCTGCTTCAGGTTAGCGCAGCAGTAATAGTAAGTTTATTGGAGATGAAGAGTGCAAATGAAACTGAGATTTTTCTAGCCGTATGTTACAAAGCAGGATTTCCAAACTTGGAGGAAGGAGATTACAAAATGTTCCTTAAACTTAGATGTTGAAAGCAGCTTTATAGTCCAGATGACCCCACAGCACATGGCCTCATCTGCTGACAGTACTTCTGTTTACGGGCAGCTTCCTCTTTTAGTTGAACCTGTTGATTTGTTGGAAAAATGTGCACTTTACAGTCAGTGCCTCTGAGATGCTGGAGGTCAGATAACGAGATGAGACTAATCTCCTTCCGCCTCCCTCCTCCGGCTGAGACTTGACTAGTCTGACTGTCACCCCGGGGGTGTTTCGGAGTTAGTGACGGGGGGGGAGGTGGCGGCAGATGGTAGATTTGGAGTGGAGATGTGAGCAGGGGGCAGGCTGCCCGTCACCACCTCCACCTGGTGGCCGTGTCTCCTCCACCAGCCCCCCTCGAGTCATCAGGTCACGACCCGGAGGGGGCCGCGGGCTGCAGATGGTCACCTTCATTATCTGTCTTAGCTCCGGGGTTTAAGAGAAAGGAGATATTGACGTGAAGTGGTGTGTTTTATTTCCTGGAAACACACATTAAGCAGTCAACCCCCTCAACATGCACAATTCTTTACCTGTTCTGAACGATATCTAACTGTTAGGATGAAAACCAACAGAACCCTTCTGAACATGTCAGCTGAGAAACAAAGGAAATGAATCTCTTGTCGTGTCAGTTTAAAGAGCGCAGCAGCACCCTCTATAGATGACTCAGAGACTAAAACATGCTCCTGAATAAGGTGTTAAACTTCACATGTGCTACTGAGTTCACAGTCAGAACAAAATCTTCCAAAACTGAGGATAATAAATCGTGTGTCTGCTCTCACCCGCAGTACTCTGGTTTCCAGCAGACGGCCGAGAAGTGCTTTGTGTGCGGTCACCTCATCATGGAGATGGTAAGAGCGCCCTCCAACAGAAAATATAAAGCAGCCTGTTTAGAAGAGCTATGAGGGGGGGGATATTTAAACATCTGTAAACACTGATGGCCGCTTATTGTATGATGCTGCGTGTCTTACTGTGGTCTTGTGTTTTTTATGTGTGTGTGTGTGTGTGTGTTCAGATCCTCCAGGCACTCGGCAAGTCCTACCATCCAGGCTGTTTCCGCTGCGTGGTGTGTAAAGAGGGGCTGGACGGAGTGCCTTTCACAGTGGACGTTGAAAACAACATCTACTGTGTCAAAGACTACCACACGTAAGGAGAACACCTCTCTGCTCCGATAACGTGACGATTGCAAACAAGCAGCTAAGCACTGACAAGGAGAATCTGGAACACGGAGGCAGCACAGTCTGTCCGGAAACCAACAGTACAGACTCAGCTCCTGCTGTTCTTGCTGAATTTTTTTTATTTTTTTTTTTAATACCAAGTATAGTTCTTGTTTTTATTTGGACAAATGTGTGTGAACTGAGGAATTAGAAGTAACTGGTTTAGTTTTTAATATCTTTCTCTTTTAAATTACAGGGTTTTTGCTCCCAAGTGTGCCTCATGCAACCAGCCCATCCTTCCAGCCCAGGTAAAGAAAATGAGATTAAATTGTGTCATTCTTTGGGTCACACCCAGAGATGAGCATTTGAAATGATTCATGTGAAAGTGTTTTATAGAAAGCTGCAAGAGAATCCCTCTGCTTTACATGAGTCCTTGTTGCCCCAAATGTTTACAGCAGAGGTTGGGCCAAAGTTAGCGTCACTGGTAGAACAAAACCAGATTTATGAGAAATGACAGAGATCATTGCAGACAGTGCTGAGTCTAGTGGTGCATGGTGAAATCACAAGCGAGAACCTGCATGTGGTCACAAAAACGTGTAACTTAGGTCCTGATTTTGTTCATATGGACTCCTGACTCACAAGAGTTAATGCTCACACCTTTTGTGTGTGCACGTCCATGCAGTGTTTGTGTGCAGCTGGAACAGAATCGGAACCTCTGATTACACCTCATGTATATATAAGATATTATTTTCAAAGTGCATACAAGGTGTGTCAGAAAAGCTTTAGGACTGGTGTCACAAAAGATATATCTCAAATCCAAACTACAAGTTTTCCCCTTCAAAGTAATCCCCCCTGGAGTCTAACACACTTTCCCAGTCTTCTCTGCCACGCCGCCATGCACTCCTGGAAGGATTCTTCCGGGATCCTCTGTATCTCCATCATCACAGCCATCTTGATGTCGTCCACGTCTTCAAAACAGGTCCCCTTGATGACCCCCTTGAGCTTGGGGAAGAGGAAAAAATCCCACGGAGCCAGGTGGGGTGAGTAGGAAGGTTGCTCCAGCACGGTGATGTTCTTCTCAGCCAGGAACTGTTGGATGCTCACAGCGTTGTGAGCAGGCGCGTTGTCATGGTGAAGCAGCCACCACTTGTCCTGCCACAACTCTCATCTCTTCTCTGGACGAAGCAAACGCTGCAGGATCTCTTTGTAGATGAGCTGGTTGATCATCTGAAGGAGAAAACTCATAGTTTGTAGTTTGGGTTTGAAATACATCTTTTGTGGCACCAGTCCTGGAACTTTTCTGTCACACCTTGTATTTAAAATGAAAAAACAAAGCACTCATGTCGCTCTTATTTGCACACTTGCGACAACAGAAGCCTGTTTTTTTTCTTAAAAGTAAAAACTGTGAAAGTTAAATATAGTTAGTAAAGTAGGTAAAGAAGAAAGGAACAAAAAAAAAATCCAAAGGTTCTTCCTCTTGGAGCAGCTGCAGGGTGTAACTGTCTTCTGGGGGGAGGAGGGTGTGTGTGCTTTGCTTCAGGACACATGGCAGCTCCAGGGATCCAACCTGAAACCTGCTCGTTGTTGCTTTAATGAGACACCAGATTGATGAGACTGCATGTTTGTCCCTGCAGGGCTCTGAGGAGACCATCCGGGTTGTTTCGATGGACAAGGACTACCACGTGGAGTGCTACCACTGTGAGGTGAGCGCTCTCTGCTCACTTTCTCACACACACTCAGCCACACATGAGCTATGAGTAACAGCAGTCTGGCACGCATGTGATTTGACTAGAGTCAATTTAGCATCGCTGCGTATGATTCAGCTTTTCAGACAGTTAAAATGAATGAAACAACACACACACACACACACACACACAGAAATAATTGCACACTGTTCCAGCCCACAAAACCACACACACACACACACACACGTGCACATCCACTCCATCCCATAAACACCGTGAACCTGGGTAAGAGCTGCAAATCGTGGGATGAGACTAGACTCAGTGTTTTGTACCAGTGAGTGAATCACCGCTCTTGTGGAATGAATGAGAGACATGCAGGAACAAACACACACACACACACAGATGGAAACCAACCCAAGGTTACAGCTCGACACTGTGACTCATTGACAAAGCACATTCCAGCGTTGGGCTCCGAACTCAGCTGGGGGCTTGTTGCTCAAACCTGACTTGTGAAATCTTCGTTGTCCCGCCGTTCAACGCTGTCACTCGGTTTGTAGTTCGAGTGTGACAGAAATGTTTACTGGAACTAATTGCAGGCCACCCTGCAGTCATTTCTCTGAACTGTATGACAACTTGTTTTTGCTACCCTTATGAGCCGGATAAGACTTGCTCTGAATGGCTGACATACTGCCTCATGGAAATAGATCAGATCCTTATGTAAGCAGCAAGTAATCATTCAGCCAAGTTGCGGAGAGGGGAGGCTGATGGACAGAGGAAGGGTAAAGTCCGCACCTGAATCATTCGGGAGACAGTAAATTCGTTACATATTTGAAAAAAAAAAAACAAAACATGTTTTTCTGTCATACTGTAACTCATTAGGTGACTCCTCAGTTGGTTGCCATTATTTCATGCTGTTTTCATGCATGCGTCTCCAGCTGCTTATCCAGTTCCTAATCACCAGCGTGGTCAAGGGGCGCTCAGTTTATGTAACCCCTCCAGCACGTTCAGGGTCCACCCTGGGGTCTCGTCCTGTAGCACAGAATTCCTCTGCAAGGTTCAAGGGTCAGTGTGTTCATTCATACATGTATGAAATGTGCAGGGGTTCCGTCGTCATCGGCCGACGCAGCTCCTTTCATACTCACAATCCCCTCTGGATGTTTGAACTCTCCAAGGATAAACCCACACAGCATCTGTAACTCATTTCAGAGCTTTGTCTTCAGGCTCAGCGATCTGTTCACCACGAGGGTCCAGAAAAACACCCGCATGAATGAGGTCACTACATGATTGCCTCGGTGCATCTTGCACCTCATGGAGCCCTCGCTTCCCAACATGAACCTGTTGATCCTTCACACGAACCAGCAATATCTTCTCCTTTATTTAATGTCATCAGGCTCTCTGAAAACAAGCATATTTTCCCAACACAGAGATTCTGTTAACAAAGCAAACTCAGGACTCCAGACGAACCTTTTACATGCACCAGCACGTTTTGTTTTTTTTTTTACATTTTTGTTGCAGAATAACACATTTTAAGTCTTACACTTTATTCAATTCTGATGCACATTGCTCATAACTTAACACATCATATAAATTACTGTAAGTAGGAACAAAGTTATAGATTAATGTTTTGTTATCTGTTCTCACGAAGAGGATCTGGGACTTGGTAAAAGCTAGCATTTCTTTGGCTATATCAGGAGCAGTGATAAGTATTATTGTCGTTTCTGACTCCTCACTGCTTCAGTTTGTCGCTGCCTGGCACCATAATACTGCAGGGAGTGGGGCTGCTCTGCCGGCTGCACACCTGTCACGACACGCTCCAACATCAAAGCCATGCTTTGGCTGCTCTCTTTGTAAAAAAAAATGCGATGTCGGCTGTTTCATCCTATCTCTATCTATATTGTTTCCCACAGATTGAGATTTTACAGGTATGTGGTGCAGCATGACTGATGCGGAGAGTATAACCCAGGCGGTTTTCTCGAAGCTATAATTTACAGGTGTTCTCTAAATGTTATACATGCAGACTATGGATGCAGTTTTGCAGCATCCCCCAAACCTCTCACAAGCATTGGTATTTAAAGTTCACAGATGTTTGATGAACACCTTGCATGCTTTATGAAGCAGCAGTGCACAGAGAAGCCTCGAGGCCCCACTCAGTTAAAGCAAGTCAGAAAAAAGTGAAATAAGGTGTTTTAATTTAATGTAAGTTGAAACCAAGTGATTTTATCCAATTGATCAGTGCTCAATATTCGGTGCCCCCAATGAAACTTTCACTTGACTGGTTTTATTTAGTTGCATGTGTGACCAAAACTGTCCACACTAGTGCCCCGGTACACTACATGGTGTGATAGTTGTTTGTCTTCTTCGTGTGCTCATGTTTCTGCCTCTGTATCGCCCTGTCAGGACTGTGATCTCCAGTTAAACGACGAGGAGGGCCACCGCTGTTATCCACTGGAAGGCCATCTGCTCTGCCACGGCTGCCACATCCACCGGCTCCAGTCACAGGTCCCCGCCCACCCGCCCCCCAGCTACCCCCTCCACGTCACCGAGCTGTGAGGGGACTTGGTGGAGGACCGAGCTCCGCCTTCCCAGGTGATCCGGGACACCAGCAGCGGGCGAAAAAATAGGCCTGCCCCCTTCCTCCAGCAGTTCCAGGAAAGCCTCTGCGTGGCCCTCTGAGCTACTACTGCCCCTGTCCTCAGCTGGACAGCCCGGCCGTGGACCAGCTCCCACCACAAGCCCCGCTGTCACATGGCAGGGTTGGGGGAAAAAAAAGGGTCCCCCCTCTTCCTCCATCTGTGGTCCTTTCCTTCCCCGTTCTCCTTCCCCTTGGGTGCCTAACCCTGAAAGCCAACACGCCGGCTCACCCAGAGGCCCCCGGTGACGTCACACCTTCTGACCCCTGCACATTCATCAAAGGGAGGGTTTTTGGATCGGAGGGAAGACGCACACTCGTCTCTTTCCTTCGCTTCCCTCTCTTCTTTTCCATGTTTTTCATTCCTGTGCTCTGACTGAAGTGGTTCACCGCAGTGAATTCACCAGTGCTGTCACGTCTGAGAACGCTGCTGATGTCGACGTCGGGAAGGCCGGGGAACGAGCCGCTGCATTCCAGTGCTGGCTGGAGTGGACGGGGGCCCCGAGGGTGGGCATGCCGTGCCTTCAGAGCGGGCGCTCTCCGAGCAGCTTCTAAACACTGAAAATGGAGCCCTGCAAAAGGCTATGCAAAGGACACCCAGCATCACGACAGAGGGCTGAGAGAAAAACAGTCGACTCATCGCTCGCCGCCCTGCACCACCCTGACATAACAGATGCACCGTAGCACCACAAGCCCAGAGGACCGACTGACATTCCACTTAGAAGTCTAAGACGACACCTCGAGAGATTCACAAGCAGTGTCTTAATTAATGATTATATTATGACGGAAAATTTTAGATGCACATAGATTGTCTTTTATATATGAATATATATTTTGCAGATGTTTTCCACATAAGATCCTAGAGGTAGATTTTTTTTTTTTTTTTAATGTTGCTGCGCTCGTGATAGAATCAGAGGTGAAACTGTCTGTCGTGCAGTCTGAAGCCTCTGAAGCTTTTGGGTCTGTTGTATCATTTCTCCTCCAGGACACAGAACCGCTTCATGTCTGTCAGCGGCTCAGAGATCCACAGGCTTTGTAGGAGCAGACCGAGCTCAAACTGTATTTGCCTTCAATTGTTTTATCCCACTTTGAGTACAGATTGACTGTTGCTGTGAGGTCTGTTTTACGGTATTTCCCCAAACCATATTGCAGAGGTTCTCAGACTTATTGCTCAAAGGCCCAAATCTGATTTTTTATTTCAGGTTATAGGTCAGGAATGATCGGTACAAACAAAGTAACTTTTAGCCAACTCGCCTATAAATTTTTGTAACATACATTCATGTTAAAGACGGTTAAGGTACAGTAGATTCATGGCTACGTGCACAAGTGTGACAGCTGAGCTCTGATGCACCGTTAAACTTTACATCTGTTGTGATTGTTCCAGCAGGAGACCAAGTCAGACACAGCTCAGACAGTTTGTCCATATTTATTTCTGACTGAAACCTTACATTTACATTAGTTGTAGAAATTGCGCGTTGTCTCTTGGACAGTTGTCATCGTCATGACAACAGTATCAACAACAGGATAATAACTCCATTAAAACCACGTTAATGTGGCTACAGAATTATTTCCAGCTACGCCTTGTACTCAAAATCACTAACAATTTATTGATTAATAGAAAACCTCAAATTAGAAAATGCTACACTTCATGACATATTCTATTCATAACAGGAGGTCTGGACTTAGTCCAGATGTTCACCTCGGTCTGAACATTGAGAACCTTTGCCCTGCTGATTGAAGATGGTTTACAACTGATGTTAGCACTCTGTGTTTTAAACATACGGACTGAACAGATTAACCCTCTGAACCCCAAGCAGTTTCTGGGCATTTCTTTGCTCCTGTCACAGTTCTACTCACTGTGGCTCATTTTTCACAGCAATGTGAAGTTCTGCACCTCTGTGGAAACAACATGAGTCACACATGTGTTTTATGTAGTATAACAAAGTTATAAAGCCTGTTGAACAACAACAACAACAACAACAACAACAAACATGTTTGATTATTTATTTTAACAAGAACTGAAAAAAAAAAAATTTGAATCCACACATACATCTTTTTTTCTAAGTGATTACACTGGAGATAAAACAAGGACTCTACATACTGTAGATATATACTTCTTACAATTTAACTAATTCCCATACTTGTCTCATATTCCTCTGTAAAACCACATCCTGCAGTTCAGCTGAATATTTCTCACATGACTTTTGCTGAATCTCTAATAACTTCTCATTTGTACCAGGAAGCACAGAATTTTACAGAATCTATTTTGGGTACATTTTTGAATGAGACATGTAGAATAATGTGATTTTGATGAAATAGCACAATTTTGAATTTAGACTTAGTTGAGTTTGATGATTCTTCCTGTTGTTCCAGTTTCTGGCTCTGATAAATAGTTTATTTTTTTAAAAAGATACCAAGTCTTGCAAACCTGCTGGCAGGTTTTGGGGTTCAGAAGGTTAACCCTCCCCAAACACAGACTTTAATGATGCAATAGTAAAAGCTCTATGTGGTGTCTATATGCTCTGGATAAATCCTACAAAATGTAACACAAGCAGGTGTCTTAAACCCTTCAAGTCTGACTCTCTGTCATCACATCAAAAGTTGTCACAATTGACACTTTAATCTTAAACTCTTAGGTAAAGGATTAGCAAAACAAAAGGTCCTTAAAAACAAAGATTTACCGCGTTTGGTGGAACACTGAACACTCAGCAGTCACCATAGAAGAGAAAATACCAGCTGTCACTCTAAGAGTGAATCATTGTCTGCTAGAAAAAATTCCCAAAATGAAGTATTAATGAGCTTTGTGGCTTAAATGATAAAAAATGCATTTTAAAACAATGGAACTGGAGAAGGCTTGGCTGATTATGTCACGTTTGTCAAGCTGCTGTACTGGAGAGTGCTTTGTTGGCAGGCAGTTTGTTGTCATGCAGGCGCGCATATGAAATCATGACTTTAATGATTTTTTTTTTTTTTTAAACCAGGAAGTAGCTACATTCCTTCCAAGGAGAGATAAATGTAAAACACCTCGGGCAAATTTGAAACTAATTGTCACTCACTGACACTTCTGCTACTTTAGGTGCTCAAAGTGGAATAAAACCTCAATGCATGCTGATCCGCAGATACCTTTTGTTCCAGGTCTGTTCAGGACACTGTTTCCTGGTATGTTCTCCACACACTGTTTTTTGTCATATGAGCACACAGTGCGTTACTATGAGGAACCTCTGCTTGTCCACATGCCTTAAGACACAGCAGGTATGTTTGTTTGTGTGTCTCGCTCTGGTCTGCCGTGAAGTCTGCTGTTGTGTTTTGGGAGGACGTCTCTGAGAACACGGAGCTGCTGGTCCCACCCGTGTTTTTCAGGCAGCCGCCCCCCCCTTTCTTGCTGATTGTGTGTGTGTATGTGTGAGAGAGAGAGAGTGTGTGTGCTGGCAGGCACTTGCATGTGTGAGTACTGTGTGAGTATATGCGTATATATGCAAAAGAAAATCTACAAAAACACTTGAAACTTCCAGCTGTGGTGGTGCTGGAAAACTATTCTCACCATTCCCCACCGGACTCTGCTGTCAATGAGTTTAATTGGATCGGCGCTCGACAGATCATTCCCCGTGTGCACACGAACCCACAGTTCTAGATATTCTCTCTCTGAGAAAAGCTCTTAATTCTGAGCTTCTGCATATTTGTGCAGATGAACCCCAACGACATGTGCTTATTTCAAATATGAGCAAGTTGTGTGAATGTGAAGTGTGTATGTGTGTGTGTGTGAGAGAGAGAGTGTGTGTGTGTGTACTAGTGGCAGGGCCATGACACATGCACCTCACTGTGTTTGCAGGGCAGCGCAGCATCCAACACAGTGACCCCTGCTCTCTCTGTTAGAACCCAGTGATGATTCTGATGATGCTGTCTGTCCATCACATACCTTACTCCAGATGTTTGTGTCTAATTCTTGGTGATTGTGTGAACGTCTCTCCGGCACCGTATTGGATCTGGAACATGTGGAGCTCACGCGTGTTTTAAACTTTTGACTGTAGCAAACTCCACCAATGTGATAGTTAACCCGAAACAATCGCCGACTATTACTTGCAAACACTGGCACAGCTCTTCTTCATACTGTAATACTGTAACCCACACAGGTCTGAGTAAATACTACTGAATGTGACAAAAACAGAGACTGAAGGCAGGGGTCACCACAGGCAGAAAGTGCTTTTTTTATTTTTAATGTAACCTGATGTAATGAGATTCATTTGAATGTAATAATGATTTGTAAAAGCAGAAAAGAAAAGGACTGCATACTGTACACGAGACATTCCCCTTGTCGTTTGATGTGTTTCACCTCAGCTTTGTACAAGGGTCCAGTAATGTGTGCTATACTTGAAGAATGAGGCACTCTCTGAATTTATCTGCACAATATCAACCCCCGAGAGAAACTTAACAAGACCAGAGTGTGTGCCCTTTAAAGATGTCTTAATTCACTTGTTTTAAAAAGTACTACTTCAGTTTTTATTGCATAGCACACAGCTAGTTACCCTGTACATAAAGAGGCTAGTTTTTTATTTTATTTTTCTGTCAAAAAATCACTTGGAAAGAGAAGACAACTTCTTCTTCTTGGTCTCCTCCTCCTACTGGTAGTTCCAATAAGCACATCTCGACACCTGTCACACATCTTTTATATCGCTAAGTGTTTTTGATTACCTAGATGGTTCATTTAAAAAAAGAAAAAAAGAAGAAAAAAAAGGAAACTAGATCTATTTATCTAAACATGAAAAAGTCTAAAGTTATTTAATGTATTAAAATCGGGACGTATCATTTAACTGTAGATGACATAATCTGCTTTTTCAATAAAGTGGTTTTGTAGCTAACTGCAAAAGATGTTGGGTTTTTTCTCTTTAATAGTGTTTGGCTTTGATCGTGTTTCGCAAATCAAGGGCTACAGTATATATATATAAATAGATAGATAGATAGATAGATAGATAGATAGATAGATAGATATAGATACACAGCTGCTGACTTAAAACCTTGATATATGTAACATCGTTTCTGACACAGTTTTTATCTTGTCAGTCTTATGCACTCGGCATTAAATCATATTTTTCAGAATTAAAATTGAATTTAAGCAGGCGAAAATGGTTGTTGGAGTAATTATAGTTTGTCCTTTTTTGCTGGTAAATGAGGATGTAATTATTTATGACATTATAATAATGAATGAAATATTTCTTCAGCATTACACATGGACATTTTTCTATTGTTTGCAGCCAATCTTTAAACAATCTTAAACAACCAAATACAGTAAAATCAACGTGGCGTTTCACAGCAGCAAAGACATAAACAGTCAAAGGTTTGGACACGCCTACTAATTGATGGGCTTTTCTGTATTTGTACTGTTTTCCTCATTTCAAAACAAAACCGAAAGAAACCTGGAGGTTTTCTATCAATCTTGAAGAAGTTCACACAGATGCTGAGCACTTGTTTCCTGCTTTCTTTGCTTCAACTAATCCCAAACCATCCCGGCTGGGTTTAGGTCACTTCATTGCGGAGGCCGTGTCATCTGATGCAGCGCTCCATCACTCTGCTTGTTTTGATTTTCGCTGTCCTGTTGAAATGATCATCCCGCTAAGCTCAAACCAGATGTCGCTGCAGAAAGCTGTGGTGCTGGTCAGTTGATGTCTTGGATTCTGACTAAATCCCCGACAGAGTCTTTGGTGAAGCCCCCACACACCATCACAGCTCCTCTTTTATGTGCCTCGGTGGTAACAGCACATGCTGATACCATCCGTTCACCTTCTCCGTATCTCAGAAAAACAAAGCAGCTACAACCAAAAATCACAAATTTGGACACTGTCATGTCTGTTTTTTATGTTTCTTGGCCCAAGGAGTTTTCTTCATCTTCTTGGTCTCCCTCAGCGGGGGTGTCTTTTCACGCTTCAGTCATAAAAGACTGAGTCACACAGTCTCCTTTCCACACTTGAAGTTCAAATGTGTCTTCGACTTGATCTCTGGGAAGCACTGATGTGAGCTTTGATCTAAGCTGCTCTTGTTATCTTTCTCTGGTCATTGATTAAACCCCTAAAAACTCACCTGTGTGTTTCAAAGTTACAGGTTTAGGAGCTTTTTGCATGAAAGTAGGGCTTAGCTGTAACTCTCCACTGTTGCCTGTATCTCCACCCACCCCTCCATTGTTTGCTGCAGCTGAGCACACCAGCTCACCTTTAACTTTACTTAAACACTGTAAACTCCTCTACACCTATAAATGGCAAGTTGTGATATTGAAGCCATTTACATACGTTTGTTACACAGTTTGAATGTTTTTGAGACTATCATCAGTACAGACATGGTGTTAAGTGCTTTTTTTTTTTGGACATGATGTGTCTTCCAGCATCTAAAAAAACACCACATGGGCATGTAACAAGACAAGGAGGTTGTTTTCACCAGAGGGAGTCCTAAATTCTGAGGTGGTGACTTGTCCTCTGCAGCAGAGGAACATCTTAATCTTCCTTTCCAGGGATGGTATCCATAGAAACCAGTTTCATCACAGCATTTGATGTTTTGGGTTTTTTGTTGTTGTTGTTGATGATTTTCATTCCTTGAAGTTACTTTCAAAGTTCTTGATGATTTCTGGATTGACTGACCTTCGTGTCTCAAAGTAATGATGGTTGCTGTTTCTGTTTACTTAGTTGGATGGTTTTTATATATGGATCAGAAAAGCAGTTGAGAAATCCAGTTTGCTGTATAGCAGCACCACCTCAGCACCTCATTTCAAACACATTAAGAAGACACAAAGTTCCACCAGTTTACTTGTTTATTGAACCATTTGACCATATTGACCGTTTCAGGTGATGACTTAATGAAACGTAGCTGCCAACGAGGTAAACAGCGGTTGCTTCGCATAGCATAGCTCAGATTTGTTCAGCATTGACGATAAAATAAAAGGAAAAACGAAAAACGTAAAAACAAATAGATATGCCTGAACTTTAAATTGCACTGTTAGTCAGCACAGGCTATGCTGCATAGCTAAACTACATTTTGGACCAGGACTGTATTGGCCAAATGGATTTTCTTAAAGTGTTGCAAGTAATAGACTCTGTTTGCATCCACCCTCATGTGGGTTAGCTTAGCTGGCTACTTAGCTTAAATCACCTTCTTACATTTTTACACCTCTGTTTCTGTGTGGAAAAGGATGTTTTATGCAGTGAGCAGAGGTGCTGATAAGCTGACTTTGGTACTGTGCCAGACTAGCTGTTTCCCTCTGTTTTCAGTCTCTCTGCTAAGCTACGCTAAGCTAAGCTAAGCTAAGCTAAGCTAACTGGCTACTTTAACTTCATCTGACAGTAGTCTCTGATCAAGAAAAACGAAGAGGTTGTTTCCCAAAGTATTAAAATGATTAATTTAATAATTGTTGCCAAAATAATTCTCAAATAATTTTTTTGTGCTAATTAAGCTCATTCTCATCAAAACATCCTTAAAATAGCTTTAATTCTTT